ACAAATTCTATATCTATGCTAACCAACAAACGCAATGAAGAAGAGTTCTTGACATTCAACAGTTTATTCCCAAACTTGCACAGACCCACTTTAAAAAAAGAATCACCCGAGCCTGGAGGCTTCAAAGTCAAACAGATCAAATGACTGGATGGGCACGTCTAACTTTTGGCTGGGTAGTTTCATCTAAATTTGTACCCAGATGGGGTAACTTATAATATACCATATAGTATATTAGGACCAAAGTAATAGTAATGAGAATGAGAATAAATTGCAGTTATTGGGGTAGTTTTCATGCAACATACTTTTTTATTTCAACACTTTAGTTCAGAAGAAATACTACTTTTACTCAGTTACACTGAGCTACATTTCACCCACCATTTGTATTTTATCTATGCATATTTTATTTGTATGTCATAAAGACTGCCAAATAGTCTATTTTACCATTCCAATGTAACCAAGGGACGTTTGACTCAGTTTCGGCAATTAAACAGAGACAGGCAGTCACATGACAATGTCAACGACCCTACAATGAATGCAAAGTGACTCATTTCAGTGGAACGTGGCAGAAATCTATGATTTACCTCACAGATAGGCACCAGCTCACCTGTAACCCAAGTGAAGATAAGATGAAAATAAATGGACTATAAAAAAGAAAGAATTGCAATGTCATGCACTGTCATTTCCGAACTCCACTTCAAGCTTGAAAAACACACACAAGGCTGCCTTGTTCTGTGTTTGCAAAGTGGAACGCTCTGTTTAATAAAACCAGTATGTCAACTGCTACACGTGAAAGCAAATTGCAGCTGTGGCATTCAAAATAAGCAGGGAGAAAAGCAACCCACAATGTGCACGGCGATGAAGATAAAAGCAAAAGTTGGCAGAGCTCACAGTGTTTTTGAGCAATGTAACAGATACCAACATTGCTGAAAATGTGGGTGAATCCACCTCGCCAATTTGAAGATAGTCAAATTACTGTTTACATTATCACATAATCATCTCTGCCTGTGTCTGGTGAGCCTCATGTGCTGTTTCACATATAAAAGCAAATAAAGTTCATTGTAGACCAGGCAGTAATTGTGGTAGAATTGTTTAAAGTGATATTGTGGGAAAATATTCGAATTTGCAAATTCGTATTTTATATTTTGTCTAGTTTACATACGTACGCCATTGGGAAAAAACTGAAGAGTCACTCCGCTCTTGAATTTTTCACTGAATACTGAACCTGTTCTAACTTTAACTGTAGCACTTTCAGTGACATTTGTTTTTTTAAGTGCTCAATAAACAAAAGTGAGTTGATTATATTAAATAATATGATTACCTTTAATGATTTCTATTCAATATTTTTAACGGACTAGTTTTCAACACACGTTTATCATCTCCCTCAAGCACCAACATTGATGTGAAGGGACTGTGAATAAACAGTGCCATCTGCTGACAAAACCCTCAGTGTTGTAAGGCTCTTGAAATCCAATCCATTTTATTTAAAAGTCCCATTGAAGCATATTGTAGTGTCTCAGAAATAGATTAATACACACAATGAGTAAACCTTTGCACGCCTCAGTCCCCGCAGGATCTTGCGTGGTGCAGAATATTACATTTGCATGTAGTTTTCAACCCAGCATTAAGACATCGCAAAACAGGCTACATTCATACTGCAGGGGTGTGATGCCCAATTCGATTTTTTTTTAATCCGTTCTTTTTTGTTCTCGTTCACACGACAAAAAAAACGAATGCGCCCTCGAAGGTTCACCGAAGACGTCCGTGACACCGTGACACGCAGACGCACGAAGCACGACGTCGAGTGGCAAAACAAAGACTACGATACAAGGCTGTGTTTACGGTAGTAAATATGACCGAACGCTTAGGGCCTCATTTTTTTAAATCATCTTTAACAGAGGAGCGGTGCGGGAGGTAGCGGGATAATTATGGGGAATAAATGAGGTGATGCTTTTATTTCTTGTCATTATATAGAGACGGCCAGTAAATATGACGTCATGCTATTGCCGCGCGGAAAAAAATGACCTGTCTGGTTGAATTACATTTATTTTCATTAGCTATGCAGTAAAAAACACTAAACAAAACTTCATTATAAATTTAATAATCATTCTCGCTAAGTTCCATATCCACAAATCCAGATGGAATAATTCAAAACCTCTTTTCTTAATTTTTGAAGCAGAAACAAAGCAGTACCTGAGTTCTATTCTGGATTCCAAAAACAAGAAAGCTGTTAAGACTCTGGCTATATGCTCCTTATTTGAAATGTTTGTCTAAAAATCCCCTGGCTTCTTTTTTGTTTAAACGTTTGTAATATATGTATGTATTAATAACCTGTTCGTTTTGGTTTCTGTTTACTGAGAATTGTATTCTGACTTGTTCAATAAAGATTATCAAAAAAAAAAAAAATTAGCTATGCAGTATGTTTACATTAATATCCAGGTCAAGTGGCTAGTTTACACTTTGGATCTTTGCTTTATTATCACTTGTTATAATAATAGTTTATTATTATTTATTATTATTCTGTTTTTTAGTAATCTGCCCTAGAAGGACAAAGAGAATACAGATTTGATTATTTTATAACTACAATGTTCCACAGTGTTTTGCAGATATTTCCGAAAATTCTAACTTCATTAGTACATTTATTTGCTTTATAACTGGTAATTGTATTTAATGTTTTTAAATGCTCACGGAAAAATCAACTTCCAAGTCACAGAATCAAGATTTGCTCTCCATAGAATCAGGATTATTCTCTGCGGAGTCAACACATTTTCCCTGCAGATTCCTGGGGGACTAACAGAGGATCAATAGCAACTCTTTGTTCCTGATAGAACGGTGATGTTTGATGAACAAAGGCACCTTGTCACTGAGGTGTGTTTGCCCAAGAGTGACGAATGCGATGTTCTCTGAGCGCCAAAAATACCTGATTCTGATCAATGCTTACACAAAGTCACTCACTGTTCACCCACAACCACAAGCCTGAACAGATACATCATTCATATTGTAACCGTCTTTAAAAATCATCTTATTGAGCATGAATGTGCTATCTTCCTTTGAATAGTTGCTTGCAATTGTCATGCAACACTGAAATGAAATACACAAATAAAGCTACTCAAGGTTCTGTGGAGGCTGGGCATCAGTGTGCGCAATGCCATATTATTTGACAAAATATCCAGGGATGCAAAGCCCATCCCTTATATTTACTGATACTGCATTGCCGGTCTATATGTAGTCATCTGACTTTCAAATTGGGGACCAGGAATATTTAGCCTCACTAAGTCTATCAGCTTCCTCTTAGCGACAAACAGGCTTTGGGATATGGCCAGTAAGAAAAGTAGAGGAAAAGCTCTGCCTTTTTCCCACAGCCTCTGAGCATCAACACCAGCCAAGCATGCCGGGTCCTCTGCTTTGTTATCCGACAGCAACGAGGATACTTGGCTGCCTTCTCCTGGCTCAAGCTGGAATGCCAATTGTGTAAAAGAAAGGATGTGAATGGAAACATTACCTCGGCTGAATTTCAAACATCAGGGCGCAAAGGAGATCAGCATTTGGACAAAAGTCTATTATCTCGATCTATGGTGACTTTAAGTTCACAAAGGCGACACAAATACAAATGTTTCATCATAGGTAACACTTCAAACACAGTGCTGCAGTTGCACTCAAAATGATTCAAGCCCTATTGTTCAAAAAATGGGAACATTAAAAGAAATAACGAGCTGTGATGACATATAGAAACTCTTGTTTTGTTGGGTCATTGGAAACAACTTGGATTTTGCAACCTATGCAAATAAAATCTGTAAATTGGTATATTAATTTTGAGCATAAGTATACATTTTTCTCTTGGCTTGAACCTGCCCAGCCATCATTTACCAAAATCCACCTTTCCAAGACAGAATCGTGAATGGCCAAGCCTCACCCCATCCCGGCCTTTGTTCCTTCTCCATTACAAACAGGCACCAATCAAATGAGGTGGGATTGGGGCAGGATCAAGTGAACTGTGGAACCTCCACTCTGTACTCACAATATGCAGGGTTCTGCCATTAGATTTTCAAGAGTAGTTCTGCAGCAATTCAAAATATGAATTACTGTTGCATGATGTGGCAATGTTGCAAAACTTTCACACAGGATAAAAGTCATTTTCCGGGTTTAAGTCAGCAAGAGGCAGCCCTCCGTCAATGCATAAAATGCAGCATATGCAAGCCACATATTTTGTGTTTTGCAACAAGACTAAATCATAATTACAATTTCCTACGTACAAATGGCTGAAATAGTGAAGCTTGTAGTAAAAATGTTTGCAAGTCATGCGTACGTCGCCAGGTTCATGGACCTCGAATGGAGAGCTCGTTTTCATTCATTTTTAGCCACTTCTGAGTTGCTGCCACTAGCGGCTTGTCTTCGTCACCCTTCTGATGGCAGCCGACATAGCTGCCAGCTACAGGGAGGGGGCAATGTCTTCATCACACCTCCGGAAAGGTTCAACAGAACGCGCTTTGCCCTCCCGTTGGAGACTTGGCGATCTCTCATTCAAGGGACCCAGTGAGCGGGGCGCACCATCTGCTAAAATGTTTTTCCACAAGCTACACTATTTCATCCATTGGTACATATGATATTGTAAATATGGTTAAGTGTTGTGGTAAAACACAAATGATGTGTATTGTATATACTGTACTTTTATGACTTGGCACCGGCACTCGCTCTCTTAAAACCAAGAAATGGGGGTGTGCAGTTACTTGCCACATTTCTTCAAGAAGCGGCTACATCTCTCAGCCAATCAGATGACAGTGATGTCACAGCACGGTTCGGGCTGCGTTTTAGAACCACCTCAGAGGAGGTTCTAAAAAGCGATTCTGTTTGAAATGCACGGCTCCAAAAAAGTGCAACAGAAAAGCGAACGCCCAGGGTGGGAGCAGGCTGTTTCAGGGTAGAACAATGGAAAAGCAGCTGAAGTTTAGTATTTCACGGACGCTCCACTTCCTACAAATAAGTAGCCGCCTGCGCTTACTTACCAGACTGGTCATTCATCATGCGAATGGCTTTAGCTTTAGCCAACTCAAGGGCTGTGATCCATCGCTGCCGCTCCACCTCGGTACTAGCTTTCAGGTGGTAGGTGCGGCCACTGCTGCTCAGGACAATATTGCAGGCATCCTCTGTGTCGATGTGAGCGGTGGCCAGATTGATTGTCCCACGACACGTGTGCGCCATTTCCGCCTGTGTCCTGCAAAAGGAAAACACGCATGGAGAGGCAAGTTGACACAAGAAATATTTTGTGCATCCGCCACCATTGAGCGGGCCATGGATATCTACAAAACTATTTCACTGTCTGCTCTGGTACGAAAAGAGAAAAAGAAAAAACTGTGAGCAAACAGAATGACTTTAAAACAAAGCCCCGTCCCACCCCCATTCGCTGAAAAAGAGATTAATTAGTAAATATACCACAAACTTTGATTCCCAAAACAAATTCATAAGATTTCAAATTCATCTTATCCGTCTCGGCCGAACGAGTCCAACGAACGAACATTCATGCACTTTTTCATACATTGGGCGAATGTAAACTTAATGTAGTGTATTTCTGCCGGATGAATGGTTTTGCTAATCCGCCCATTCTGGCGCCTATGAATGGCTTTTGGACGAGAGTTTTTTTGTTTGTTTGTTTTTAATCAAGAGTGCCAGGTTTTGTTCTGGCTGAACACACGGTAAAAAAGCCTTCATATAGGGGAATAAGGACCTTATTTAGCACCCAAGCCGGAGAGCCTCGCACGCCCGCATGCGTCATCAAAAAGCATGATGGCAGTTTGGAGGGGGAAGTCAGAAGTGAGTCATCATTTTACGGTAGCCTGAAGACGGGATGGGGTTTAGTTAGGGTGTGTTTTTGTGTGTGCGTGTGACAGCTCATTTCCTACCTCAGACTGGTTCCTATGTTAGATTATAATTGTGCTTGAAAATTGAAGACTACAGTCTTGTTTTTCTTTTAATTCCTCATTAAAAAAAAGAGCATTCAAGTAACAAGTTTTTCCCTCATGACATTGTAGTGTGAAAGTAGCAATTATCGACTAGTGTAGACTGAATGGGTGGCAATGGGGAAATGCCAGTACTGTGAGTGTAATGGATCACAGTAACGTACTGTAAAACAAAAAAACAAAACAAAAAAAAAATCACAACAAAAACTATGAATTAGTTAATTTTTTGGAACAATGATCTTAGTTTATTGTTTTTATATGCAGTATGAACTGAACAAGTGCATTAAAATAACTTATGAACTGAACTTCGCACTAGTTTGCGTCAAAAATGAACTTCCCCAAAACTGGCTGCAAGCAATAGCTGGGCATAATTTCACATTAGAAAGAAGAGCCTATACAGGTTTTATAATCTAACATGCCGAACCAAACTGCAGTATCACATGTTAGATATGAAAATGTTCTCCCATTGGTCCAAAACCAGCCATTTGAGAGCATACAGTCATGTGGTCTGTGGGTGCTAATACCCATTCAGTAATTCCAGAGTGAGGCCTTACTGCCACTAGCATCTGGCTCTCAAAGCACTAAGCTCAACAACAACTCCAGTCACAGTTGACACTGACAAGGTGGTTGCCGCCTCATTATGGTCTGGAGGGGTTGGCGCTGAATCCGCTCCAGCAGCTTTCACTTGCTTGTGTTAATCCGCAACAAGCGACGCATTCAGTTGTTCAGACAAGTCCACATTAGGGGGCACAAGAAGCAGTCAGCAGCCAAGATTTCTTTCTCCAGCTCAAATTCAGAGTACTTGTGCTAAAAGGGTCTGCAAGCTGGATGGGTAAGAGGAGGTCCAGATCTATACAGTGGGAAGGTGAGGCCATGCAAAAGTTATGGATTCATCCATGGAAGCTAAAGCACAGGGGCATTATGATGCATGAGGTGAGAGGGGAAGAAGCTGAGGGCAAGTTGTGCATCCGTCAGAATACCGCGTGTCATTCACTCGTCCTTTGTGCGCACACCATCATAAAACAAATCCAAATCTGGAGCAAGTCATGATGGAATACGAGCGGGTGAATAACAGAGCATGCTGACATAGTGCAAACAGGGACAGGACAAGGAAATGACAACACCCAGCTGGAGAATTCAGATAACTTTGTTGTAGCTCACAATGTTGTATCGTGCAACACAGTGGGAAGGTACCAAAGGATTGCTGATGAGGGCAAGGGGAACATAAGATAGCGAAGCCAAACAAATACATTCAAAACGGACACGAGCAAGTAGATGACTGAAACAATTAAGATAGGAAAGAGTTCCAAGCTCTTTCTTTAAGGTATCACTTTCACACACCCCCCCCACCCCAAAAAAAAAAAAACATAATAGAAAACCATGCACGCGCGCACACGCACACACACACACACACACACACACACACTAAGACAGGCCTGCTCTTCTAAGAACGACCAGAGCAGATTCACTGATTTGGCAGATCAAGCAGCATTTAGTCATTTAATGCCTTATAATCTTCTTTAAAGCAGTCAGCCAGATCTCATTAAAGAGTCGCGTAAGAGGAGCTGACAGCATTAAAACGAGAAGCAAATCTAAATGAGGAAATTGAATATGGAATGAAGACTTAAAAATAATTTAGGTAAGAAGGCTGTCTGGGTAAATATGCAACAAGAAGCCTGATAGGGAATTAAAAAAAAAAAAAAAGTCACCCATGTCGTCCTGTGAGTCCAACGGGTAAAATCTCGATAAGACAGGTGCATCTCAATAAAAGTCATTACAATTTAACAGAGGCAGGTGCTGAGTTGAGGTATTGATTTTGCTGTTCTGTCGGTGCACTTTGCCTTCTCAGCGACAAGTTAAGGAGCAGAACATGTTACTTTCACAGCGACAGACCTTGGCAATGAAAGAGCTCTCTCAGATCACCGTCTGGACCTCCAACTGCCCCAAGTACTACTCGCCACAACAACATGAAATCTGACCTTTGACAAAGGGCAAAACAAATATTAATCACAGCTTCTTATGCCGATGATAAATATGCATCTGTTTGCCATATTTCACCAGCGTTTATGTCATGTGATCAATATAGAGGCTCCAAAAAATTCAATCGTTAAGATCATAAAAACACTAGAACGTACAAAAAAGTCCAACTGTTGTAAATATTTTGCATGTTTATTCGGGGTGTAATAAAAAACAAGAAAAACAATGCCAATCAGACAAAGCGGTTTTGATTTAGAACCGAATTGAATCGTTCCACTTTAAAATATATTGAAATACGTCTTAGATTGTCTCATATTGAAGGGTATATATCTTTCAAATTAAATTCTGCACACATCTGTTTCTGAGAGTGAATTACATTTGTTACTTGCTTTTTTGGAAACTTGCCACAAAGTTGCTACGGGGTTCCAAAAACGGCTAAACTATAGCCTCTCAATGTTATTTTATTATCTATTTATCTTGGGGGGAGAAAACACACACAAAAAAACCCTGAACAAACCAAATATTGATTCGAATATAATTATTGATGTACTTTCTTAATCTAACCTAAAACTAGAAACAAAAATATGATGAAAAGAATATTTCTTTACATTTTGTAATTTCCATTTAAATCTAAAACATGACGGAAAACAACAAAAAGAAAATAAAAAGGAATAGTTGAAATTTCATATGTGTTCTGTTATATTATCGTTATTTTATGTTAAATGTTCTGTAAAGCACTGTTGTGAAAGTGGTGTATGAAGACGTATTGTATTGCATTTCATTTCGGGGATAGAACCGAATAATCTGTTTCAGTAATGATCATTATCACGAGATGTATCATCAGTATCATGAGATGCACAAAAATTTTTTTACCAAGTATGACTTGTCCCATTATTTTAAGAAGGTTATGATATTATTCATCTGATGATTGCATACCAATACAACAGGAAATAAAAACGTCATTAACACGCAGGGACATTGGTTACACTTAACATGTTATCAGGTCTCACATTTTTTTTTTAAAAAAATCCTTCAGGTCAGACACACAGTGGGCTGAAGCAGAGGATGAGACAACGACTAGTCTGTGCTCAGACGTCGCGCAGTGATGGCAATGGCCTTACAACATAATGGACTATTAATAGAGGGCAGCAGCAGCAGGCGGCTCTGCTTTCACCACGGGCTCTGACATTCATACCTTTGTGTCAAATGACACGCACTACATTGAAAACTGCCAAAGAGGCTTCCTCGGTGAGTATGCTGATACAACAACTCCGGCTGGACTTTTCTTCCATTTTACAATCAGCAACAGCTGCAGCTGATTGGTCAGGATCGCCCCCTGCCACCATGGGATCCCAATTCAAGTCATCGACCGGAAGAACAATGCGGACAAAAAGAACTTTGAGCTTTGTCAAGTGGGGTCAGACAATGCTAGAGAGGATGCATGGACCATGCACCCCTAAAATCCTCAAAGGACCGTGTGGTGCCCTTGAGCATCACTGAGAAGCAGAGGATGAGACAACGACTAGTCTGTGCTCAGACGTCGCGCAGTGATGGCAATGGCCTTACAACATAATGGACTATTAATAGAGGGCAGCAGCAGCAGGCGGCTCTGCTTTCACCACGGGCTCTGACATTCATACCTTTGTGTCAAATGACACGCACTACATTGAAAACTGCCAAAGAGGCTTCCTCGGTGAGTATGCTGATACAACAACTCCGGCTGGACTTTTCTTCCATTTTACAATCAGCAACAGCTGCAGCTGATTGGTCAGGATCGCCCCCTGCCACCATGGGATCCCAATTCAAGTCATCGACCGGAAGAACAATGCGGACAAAAAGAACTTTGAGCTTTGTCAAGTGGGGTCAGACAATGCTAGAGAGGATGCATGGACCATGCACCCCTAAAATCCTCAAAGGACCGTGTGGTGCCCTTGAGCATCACTGATACCCTGAACTGCTCTCTGGGCATTATGTCAAGCCCTGCTTCAATGTATGTATAAAAGCCCCAAAATATTTAACAACCTAAATCTTCAGCACATACTCTAAAAACCTGTTTTGATCGTTACATCCCAAAGCACGATGCACCCACTTAGCTGAAAGTTAGACTTCCTTAATTATTTACAATGTCACTCACAGCTTTGACCGATAATACTGTGGTAACCTTCAACAGTTGTATGTCGAAGTATAGTCGGTGCACTTACTGTAGATTCAATTGAAAAATGTTTAATGGCTCTCAGGATGTGACAACGTAGTTCTACAAGAAACTACAGAATACCTTTCTGACAGTGTCACGAGAAAACAGGCATTATGTATCTTTGCCTTTTTGATACGGCACTTGTATTGGATTGCGGATTAATGAAGAAGCGGGAGGGTGAATGTGTCAGGTCGAATTTAGATTGGCATGTCCACTATCAGTGTTTGCCAACTTTCATTGAGCCTAGGCACATATATTACATGATGAAAAATATTCATGGCACACCACCAAGCAAGTGTCACAAAATGTGACAATAATCCCAATCAAATATTAGAAAGCTTAAAAAAAATAATAAATAATAGAAATTTTGATGCTTCCCCCTTCCGATGCTTACATGAACTGTAAGTATAATAAAATATGATCCAACAGTTTTATATCATTTTTAATTTATCTCACAATGTCTAACTAAAAATAAGAAAAAAGACTTACAGATAGTTGGATTTTGAAAAATGACATATGGATGTACAAGCGTATCTGGCAAAGACTCTCTGTACTTCCACTAACAACCCAGTCTAAACTTAGCTCCTCCCTGATAACATAACTTGTCTCTTGCCAAGATGTATCACTTCGACATACTTCCTTGACACAAATTCCGATTTAGACAAGTTTAGGTGGCATATTGTGGCATTTTATCCACGGGATTGCTGTAGTGAAACAATGGTGTTGATGTACAAACATTTTTTTTACTCGGTTTGAAATCTAGGCCTGTTTAGTCGAACACAAAGCAACTGTGTTGTTTGGATGGCAACAGGCTGAAACGTGTTAAGTGTGCCTTATGTCATCTAGGGGAAGACCATTAAATGGTTCTGCCTGTCATTACACTACATTTACATTAGAAGATGAAGACATACATTATTTTTAGTGAATAAATTATAATTTTGGCAGAAATGAGATGGGGCTGGAATTGATCATTTCCTACGACACACCTTAGCGCAGCAAACTATTCTACATACTGACAAAAATAAGTGCGTCCCACTTTTGTTTTTATCATTCCTTACGCTTACATTTTGTCTGGGGCTCGTGTGCCCTGCAAGAAACACCTCAGCTACAGGTGTGAGATATTGCACAATAACATAGCGTTGTATTGATCCGATGAATCGTCTTCAAGCGTCACAATCACCAATTAAAACCTGGCAATAAAAAATAATAATAATAATAAATGGCGGACCATATGTTTGGAAATGTGTGCGTATGAAGCTTGACTCTCATCAAGAATGAAAGTAGCTAGCTTGGCGAGCTAGGGGGACGTCGTTCCGACAATGAGTGTGGTTATGTGTCACAAACGTGTCAACGGCCATATTTGTGACAGAACATAGTTCGGCAAGCGCAGCGGACGTCCCGTCGCCACTGCCAAACCAGCTGTCATTTGGAACAAAACAGCCACGTTGTTGAAGTGGCTGTCAGCTGGCCGCCTGACAGCGAGAGTTAGCCTGCTAGCCAGCCGCTGAATACAGCTGGAGTGATGCACCAATGGAACTCGCTCCGTGTCCATTATTAGTTCTTTACAGCAAGCCCGTTGACTGCGGTCTGTGTGTTTTTTTACCTGTAATATGACAGCAGGCCATTGCTTAGGACGAACCATCGCCGCTGGTACCCTTTCAGGTAGTTGGTCCATTTAAAAAGCCAACCTTTGTAAGTATCCGAGCCTGCTGCAGCTGCTGCAGCCGCCGGCGGGGCCGCAGCAGAAGCGGATGCCGAGCCCTTCCCTTGCTCACTCATCCTCCGCTCAGCCGCACGCAGGTTTCAGCGACAGGGACACCGCCAACAGCAACCCCGCTTGGATAGCGAGCGAGCGAGCAAGTCGGCGGTGACGAAAGGGCGTAGCGGAGGAAGGTCCGGCCGGAGAGCGAGCGAGAGAGCCGAGTGCCCTCCTTTTCACATGACGCCTCTGGTATTTAGACGCTTCTGCTGTTGGGTACTGTAGTGTAGAGCGGTTTCCCAACCTATTGTATATTGTGCAAAGGCATTTTTAAATCGGAAAAAAAAACTTACAATCACACGTACGCCACCGGAAAAAAAACGTCAAAAGACAATGTGACAACAAGTGGAGGCACAGCTGAATTGCATCAAGTCGAAAGGGATTTTAATTGTTCTGTCCGTCACAATACGTCGCTGGCAAAGACAGACAAATAAATACTGTACACACCATTTGTTCTAAATACATCTTTTTTAATTAATTAGTGGGGTTTCAATTTTCTTTTTTTTTTTTTTTTATTTTTTAATTAATTAGTGGGGTTCCAATTTTCTTTTTTTTTTGTTTGCAGGGGGGTATATTTGTTAAAACTGCCAGTATGACCTGAAAGCAGTACAGGAGTGGAAAAACAAGTTTGGCCTCTCTGGCCCCATTTTGTTTGTCGAACTGGATTGGCAAGAAAACACAACACCCAAGGAAAAACAACCAATCAAAGACAGTTGGTGTGACTGGCAAGATTGTTAATCATTTCTCATGCACGAGAGAATCCACAACACAGATTATCATACACTGAAAAAAATATTTCTTCACATGGGCTCCAAACATTAAAATGACTGTAAATGCCACACCAATTGCAATGATTTTAGGAAGTATATGGAAAGTCATTTTGGTATTTATTCGATAATCTCAATATCCAGTCTAATGTCCATGTACTAGTACACTCTTTGTCCTCACTGATAAGACAATCCAGTGCACTAAAAACAATTATGGTTCATTCGTAGAATTATGAATGCACACTAGTGCAACCTTACTAGGAAACTATATCGTGCTGCACTAGCAATCAATACTAGTAGGGCCAACTAGTGCATCTGTGTCACGAATTAGTGGCCTCCTGGACTCTCTGAGTAGCAACAGATGCTCTCTAGTAGGTTTGCCTCAGTAGTAACATGTAGTTGTCCTAATCGTATGCCCAAGTTGTCCTACTAGTGTGAAAAAATGTCACATTGTGGAGAAACGCGACTAGTACCCCTTTCCCACTGAAATTGGTGGATAGTAGTGATCTGTGGCGACACGCGCCCAATTGACATATTGTCCCTTTCCTATTGATCAACAGAAGGCGATTCTGCGCCCCCGTCAAATAACTTTTGATTCGGAAAAATTCCAGATGATGCATGTGGCACAGTAGCGCGTTTTATAGATCGATACTTGATTCATCATGTGAGGAGGATAGAATTGTTCTTTTGTATATTGATGGCTTCTATAGTTGCAATGTGATAGTGGTGGCAGACATGGTCTTACAAAATAAGACATGGGTTAAGTCGAGTAAATCCATAGTGAAGGTCCATGCACCAAATGCACAGCCCGTCGTCGCATATTCAACTTTAAAATTCAACATTATCAGCTTTTCCGTGTATGAATTTGTTCTCATTGCTTCTCATATATTTCATCACCACAATTCTGGCAATTACATTTCCTCAGCTCTGGTAAAAACACAATTTACTGCGTGTACCAAATGCACAGCCCGTCGTCACTGCATGTTCAACTTTAAAATTCAACATTATCAGCTTTTCCGTGTATGAATTTGTTCTCATTGCTTCTCATATATTTCATCACCACAATTCTGGCAATTACATTTCCTCAGCTCTCTTTTATTTATTTATTTATGCGTGAGCTGGAGCCGAACTGGCTTTGGGTGAGAGGTGAGGAACACCCTTGACTGGCATCCAATGAACCGCAGGACACAAAAAGATTAACCCTGAGTCACATCTATGGACTAGGTTGAGTCGAACCTTAATTGACCAAACTTTTCAAAACTACTAACGCTTATTATCAGGTCATGATCAGTAAAACGGTGAAAGTACATACTGTACACTAGATGGCACTGTTGCCAAAATGTTGCCAAGTGCTGAAATTATACAAGGCACTGGAGAAGTTGCAATTGCTGTTCCCAAACGCCTTTATTTAATCATGTCAAAATATCACAATACTATCATAATAAATCAAATACAAGTTTGTTTAAAAAAAACTGTAGCCCTTATTATTTGGAAACACGCGATCTGATGAGAACTCATGCTACACACAATTGCTGCTACATGTCTTTTGAAATTTTGAATCGAAAACAAAAATGACTAAAACAGCAATCTACCCTGACAAAAGGATCAGCACTACATCACAAGCTTGTGCTCCCACATGCCAGTGTAAAACAACCACACCACTCCGCAACTCACAACACAGTCAGACAACCATGGGTTACAAAAAAAAAAAAATCCAACACGATATCACATTTTCACATCAGTGCAATTAAAACCTGACCTGTTGGATCGAGTGCCAACAATAGCATGCAAGTCAATTAGTCAAGAAATCCCTCTTAGGTACAACAAGTCTTCTAATGTTCAGTGCAGTCATGTTTACAAACTGTAAGTCTCACATAATTGCCATACACTTTTTAAGAGCCAGGTAGGAAACCTTTATTTGAGTTGTCTCTGTCTGGGACACACTTGTGTGGTGTTTGGTTGGCGTCTTGGAGCACTGCTGCAGCATTTCTTTTTTTTTTAAGTGTGGATGGGTTTAATCGATTGATCTTAAACACAATACAATGGCTCTGTCAGTCAGGTGGAATTTTATTGCTCCTTTCTAAGACAAAGCTTTCAGGGTCCGTTTCTCATTTGCTTGTTCCGTCCCTTTGCTTGCTAGAATGTCAGCGATCAAGCATGCCACTTCTCATACACACGCGCACTAAAATGTGAGTCGAGGGCCAGCAAAGAAATGCCACACACACACACACGCAATCAAACCGGCATGCAGTGCCTTTTTTCAGGCTCCGCAGCCTCCTGCAGGTCCATAATTCCCTTGCGTTAATGTATTCACCAGCCACTGAGTGAGAGGGGTGGGATGGGAAGTGGGGTGGTTGATGAAAAAGAGGTGGGGTGGGTGTGGGGGTCCTACAGTACATCACGATAAGGGACTGCAGCATTTTCCGCTGCATGACAACTATGCAACACCTTTAGTCTAAATAAACATCATCGTAGCTGCAGTATGGGCAGGTAAGAAAAAGTGTCATTGAATCGAGATAATGTATGCTACCTTACTGAATCTAGAAACATACTAATCCATCTCTTGAGAGGATCTCCCCAAATATCTTTTTTTTTTCAGTTGTCACCTCGTCTACCTCACTGAATAGTTCACATTCACAAGGAAGACTCAACCAATATTGCTGCCTCTCGCCCTTTGAGTCTCACGAAAGCAGCTTCCTTCCAATTAGGCTACCCTCACTAAGAGAAGTAATGAATCAGACACCTGAGTGTCTATGCAATGCAAGGCCTGTTGTGTCATATGTTGACTCCTCTTTACTTCTATGCCAGAAAAGTGAACAGCAGAATGAGACTCGGAAGCGGTTGGATGCGACCCATGAACGGAATCGTGCAAGCGCAGCTTCTCAATAATGCTCATTATGTAAAATCAGCTCAGTAAAGCAGGAGGCCACAGGGTATTGAGTTTCCAGCCATTAAGATCAAGAAGTCCTTTGCTCCCCTGCTGAGGTGAGAGGGTCACATGATGGTGCAGCGGTTCCTCTGCAGTGCCCCTTGCAGGCGGATGGAGGTGTGATTCTGGCGCAGGCCCCGCGCCACGGCGATGCCCAGCAGCTCCTTGAAGAGCAGCACGACGTGCCAGTTGAACTTGGCTGAGCATTCCACGTAGCCGCACTTCCACGTCTTCTTGACCAGAACCGACACCGCCCTGCGAGGCATGAAGCGCTGCCGCTGGAGGTCTCTTTTATTGCCCACCACCAGAATGGGCACTTCGCTGCTGCTGCCTTCCCTGCAAAGGTTGACATGTGTTAGCATGTGGGTGCTTGGTGTGTGCAAGCTGAGCTATTTGCAGCTTTTGCCTGCCTTTCTTCTGAGATGTGAGGGGGCGGATTGGAGGATTAGAGCTCATGGGCTCTGGGTGGGCAGGGTGGGCTCACACCACACTGTGCAGCACTGCTTGCAAGCAATATGGAGTGTGAAAAGAAATAGCAAGTGAGTGGTAAGCATAAATTTGTGTGTGTGTGCGTGGGGGGGGGGTCTTTTATTTATTTATTTATTTGTGCGTTCTAAATAAAGTTGGGTTGAGCATGTTAAAATAAGCCGGGCAAGTCTACATTCACATGGACCCGAATGTACTGTGATACAGCAAATGGCTCATTAAATGAGATATGATGCTTTGATTGCTTTGCCAACACTTGGATAACTGTTATTGATGGTAACGTGAAGTCATTTTAGCAGATTGTGAGCATATTTTAAAGAATTCAATACAATCATTTTGTGTTAGGCAAGCGACCGGAGGTGAGCACGCCTCCATAGCCCAAATGCGGAAATGATGTATGCATATAGTCTATAGTCTATTTTAGCCTGAATGTTACTGTGTCAGAAACATTCTGCTCTGGAGTAGTAAAAGACAGCAGAATAATACAAATAGGTACAGTATTGCAATTAGGCGCAGTGAACACAATGACATTGTCAGCTGCCTGGACTGGGTGGACAAAGTCATTGTGCATGTAAAATATTCAGTCTTTCACACGTAGTTAGAACAATGCCTGTGTGTAAGGCATTCGGGCTGGCAAGTGATTATCATATTCCATTTTTTATAGGCCCATTCTTGGTCGTCACCTTATCATGATGGAGGACCCGAGGAGCTAAGCTTTCAGGGGCTCTGTGTTACCCAAGTTCTAGGTGAGGGACCAGACTAAGAACTCCCTATGAAGAACTACATAATACAACATAATTGGGGAATTTTTTCTTTCACCAGGAAATGGGTCACAAGTGTCCTTCTCTATAGTCAGGCCTGGAGGTGTAGCTACTGAAGTGCGCTGTCTCTAGTTCTGCTGCGAAACTTCAGTGCTGATGTGGGCAATGACAGTGAGACCTTGATCGGGAGAAACAGCCCCACTGATCCATTCTTGAGTGGTGCTTTGTTATTGGAGCGCTGTGCTT